ATTCAATCAAATATTGGCTAAAAGTACCAAATAAGACCCACTGAAGTGCCCAATCTGTATAAATGTTGGGAGAGCCATGTCCAACTAATGTGATGCTTCTTCTGGGCATGTACTGTGCTCAGCACAGGGGCATGCCAAGTTTAAATTGAAGCACTGGTTTTCAGGGGTTTTTATGTCTGTAAACAAACTCTATTTTTTTTTCAAGACCTCTTTATAATAACCTAATATTATCAAACTTGAAGCTAGAATTTACAGTTTTTTTTCTGAATGAGGGTGTGTAACTGGGAACAGCAAAGATAGGGCCTTATAACTCTCAGGATATCACTGTGTAGTTCCAAAGTACTTGCATCCTCCTGCTTCCTGTACATCTGTAGGTATCATTTGCTTGACTCTAATTTAGGGTGATGCAATCATAAAAGCTCTTAAAACAGGAGCATTCACTCCTTAGAGGGTGTTAATCCATCCTAAGTACCCTCTAAATTTTTTAGAGTTGTCATTCCAGGTGAGGTTTACCTTTGATCCATTTTGCCAAGGCTGTTCCAGGGTATTGTTAGTCAGCATCCCAGAGATAAAACTTTCAATTTGCAGTCTTCCAGAAGCCCAAGATTAACAGCTCCTAGCCACTCTACTCCTCTCCACCCTCCAAACCAATAGTGGTCTCTCCCCTGTCCTACACCAAGCCTCCACACTGGGTGCAGACAGAAGTTACATTTGTAATGCGATCCACCTCCTGAACATGTCCTACAGCCATGCTGTGACACGTGCACAGCTGCAGAGTGCTTTAAAAGTGGTTGATTGTGCGAAAAATTAACACTCATTTAATGAGGGATCAGTTGAAAGTGCTCTGCTTTGGAGTGTCTTGAGGAACTTTTGATCTTGATTCCCACCCCAAACCAACAGGCTGTTGGGTCAGGGGGGCACTTTTGGGACAGGTGGAGTTCTCTAACTCATGACACTTTTTATATAAGTCAGCACCCATGGAGAGCAGCCACTCTCAGGCACTTAAATACAATGAGACCCTAAGCATCTTAACTGCAATGAGACCCTGGAATTAGGGAAAGCATGCTTCCCTTAGGCCCAGGGTCCTGATACCTGGCTGCCTAGCTTAGCATATGGATGCCACAACTTAAGTGTAGCAAGCTGGGAAAAGCCACTCAAATGAGCATGAGAACTCAGAGATACCAGAGAGACCACAGCCAGTAGGCAGTTTGACAGGCAACAGGACTTAACACTGGTCAGTAGGGCTAGCGAGCTCCTGGAGGGAGGCTGGGATGGCTGGGCCAGGGGGGACCACGTGGGCTAGCATGAACCTCCTGAACCAGCACCCAGCTCAGGGATACCAGGGAGCCTGCAGCCAGCAGGCAGCTGGTGGGACCTCCTTATTTAATTAATAACCCTTAACCCCATCTGCCAGCTGTGAGAAAACCCAAACTGTGGGCATCCAAGGGTTTTGGGGAACATGAAGGCTCAATTTGTGGGGGAGGGCCTCAATGTGAGGGCTGAAGTTGAGGGGGAGAACCCACTTCCCTCTCCCCTCTGCCAAGAGAGCACAGCTGGCTATTGGCTGAGCATGCCTGACCAGTTGCACAGCCCCATGCTGGCCACTGGGGCTGGGGGCAGGAGGGTCTACTGTGGCCAGGGCCAAGGCATGTCTTGGCATCAACCTCCCTCAAGCATCCGGCCCAATCCCAATTGAGGGAAACACATGCAGCATTTTACAGTGTTATATTATTATACAGCCTGCTGACAGATTTTCATGGTGTATCATTAAGTTATAAATTGTCATGTAGCACAATTTCTTTTCTTTCTTGTAAAGGTTATGGGTGCGATTAGAAATATGTGGGGGAGGAGAAACCTCAGTAATAGAAGTAAGTAATCTTAGTGTTGAATTGTCATGACAATGAGTTTAACCTCAAAGAGGATTTAGTAAATGTGCACAGGCAGGGCAAATGTAATCATTAAAATTCAGCCTTTTACCTATTCAGTTAAGAACACAGGGATGCACGTAGAAAATTTCAGGCTTGGAGATTTCAGGGAAGATTGATAAATAATCATTCTTAGAACTCTTCATCATGGGCAACAGCAAGGTTCTGTACATTAGGTCATATGAAATGGTAAGTGATTCAAGTCAGTGCTGCTCATTGCTACTACAGACTGGAAATTTGAAGCATCAAAAGGCTATCCTTCACAGATAATGTTTTTGCTGAAATACAGATGCAGTTAGGAAGGATAGTTGCCATCTCCACTCGGAAGAGAGCCAAAAGTGAAAGGGGCAATAGAATCTTATTGGATGACAACTTTGGAAAGTTATTAGAAAATCAAAATATTATACAGTTTTTTGTTATTTTTATTACACTTGCCATCTCTTAGTAGTGACATGTCAGTGCCTGAATGCTATCTTGCTCTTGTATTGTTATGTTAAGTAATATCTGGATATGTGATAAAGGAAAATATTCCCAGGGGAGCTGTTGTTGGTAAACAGTGAAAGTTTATGTTGTTGCAAATGGGCATTGACTGTATCACCCTAGCACCTAGAGTGTTGAAGTGATAGTCTTATGCTTTTGGCACTTTCAGTCCTGGGGTCAAATCTCACTGACAACGTGCAATGACTATACGTAACAATTTTTAAACTTCTTCAGGGTTAATCTACACGAACATGTAAAAGTAAATACTTTTCTGTCTACCAGCATGAGTGCGTCCATCACAACAGACCACCAATTGCCTTAATTTGAGTCTCAGGTGACCTTTCTTTGTATATGCCTTAGTAGCTATGGTGCTAGTTATTCAAGGCATTAGGTCTTTCTTTCATATCATATGTTGAACCAAACTGCTTTGTTCAAAGGATTTTTTTATTACTTATTTGAACTGCATGCCTCTGAGTGTCAGATCAGTATTCCAGGATATTGCCAACCTTCAAATGCTGTAAATAGTTCAAGAGCATGTGGATGGGACCAGTTTCCAATCATGTGTCCCTTCACCTTACCCTCAATTAATGTTTGCTTATAAAAATACAAAAAGTGCACTAACATTATCCCGGTCAGGTACTTGTGGAAAGACAAATAGTTGCTCTACCACAGGAAGCTGGGTAATAATTTAAAAGGTGTCTCAATCACCATAGATGTACTTTGAAATGAAGTGTTGAATAAGCTATTGTTTGCTCTTCTATCAGAGTTTCTTTCCAAAGGATAAATGGCGGCTGCTTTTTAAGTACTGTGGAATTCATTTGCGGAACATGTTCATTCATTTCTGCTGGAATGGTACTTTGTCACGCCTGGGTTTGCTGTTCAAGTGAACAGTTTGAGCCAATGTTACCGTTCAACCATGATTTTTACATAACTCGAGAATTCATAGGGTACCTATACATATTTTCTGTAATCCTACATTCTTTTCCATTTCTACAGAAGATGCAGGCTCACAGATCCATCTGCCTCAACAAACAGATATGGCAGCTCAAGTTGCCTCAGGAATGGCTTACCTCGAATCCCAGAACTATATCCACCGGGATCTGGCAGCCAGGAATGTCCTTGTTGGGGAACACAATGTTTACAAAGTGGCAGATTTTGGCCTTGCCAGAGTTTTTAAGGTGAGCCTGAATGGGTTGGTTTGTTTGCTCTCTTATGAAGTACTGAGGAGCAGCTTGCTGCTTCTCCTGCAGTAGCCTGGCTGTAGTGGCTAAGCGTGGCAGGTAGAGACAGGAATGGAACCAGGATGTTGCCCCTTCATTTCCTATTCATCTGCCAGGCAGGGAAAGCAGGAGACAAGAGTAGCTGTTCCTCCTTCTCCATGCTCTTTCCCAAATCCAGGCAGCATCTGGCTTTACATTCCTTAACTTCTTCTATGGGTGTGTAGATGGTGTCATAACTGAGCCCTCCACAATTATAAAGTGGTACTGTGTGAGCCCTTAGATCATCTTTGACACTTGACCTTTGCTTTTTTTCGGTGTTTAAGAATATTGCAGATAGTAACAGGGTGAACTTGGTGTCACTGTGGACAAAAGCATTGGAAGGATGGCTTTCCAGTTTAAAAGGAGTTTTCTTGCTTGTGTGAAAAATTGGATTCTATCTGAAAGAATTGGTTTATTATATCTTATGGGTTTCATGAAGTAATTTCCAGGTTTTCGGTTTTTTATTTTCATTGTTTTAAAGATTTGAATGGGGAAAAAACCTAACTTTTCTTGACAGTTGTTTTCCATACAAGGCACCAGGCCTGTAGAAGCTGAAACTGAGATTCGCAGTATAACACACTGAGCTGACTTAACATCAAGTTGATATTAAAAATGCTGTTGCTCAATTTTGACTCTACTGTGAATCTTTTAACCATTTTAATAATTAACATTCATTATGAAAATGAACTCTATTTACAATGGTATTTTCTCTTTTGGCTGTTAGGATAATTGTTCAAGTATCCTGTTAAAGTTGGACCTTTAAAAAATGCTGTCAGAGAACACACAGTGTCTGTAGAATATTTTGTGTTGATTCAGGTTCCAGACTAATATTTAGGCCCATGCAAATTCCTCCAGGCAGCAACTAGTTGTGTCCTAGTAAAACATAAAAAAATAGATTAACTAGCATAATAAAAACATAGTTTGTTTGTGTATGAAAACTAAAATAGCAATCCTAAATACAAGGCATAATAGTATAGTGTAGAACATTACTGCAAGACAAAAATATATTCAACAGTGGTGGATATCCTTCATCTTATTCATTTAAATTTTGCTTAATTTGTACATACATTTGCATGTTAAACTTTGAGTGAGATTAAACCATGGGTGAGATGCCCTTGAAACCACCAGTGAATGAAGAAATAAAGACTGTTCTTTGAAAATAGTGGTAAAGTAACATATTTTTCCAGAGGCAGCTGCAGTAGCTGGGTAGAAAATGCTGTGGCTGCTTTGTTAACCCCCTTGCTGCAGGATGACACAGGTACTGCCAGATGAGCCAAACTGCTCATTCCTTTTTTCTCAAGCTGAGCTGGGTGGGCAGCCATCAGCACCTGCGGCGTCAACTGGGGGCCTCTGCCCTTGTACCCAGGGCTCAACTCTGCTATAGAGGCACCTGGTGAGTCAGTAGCAGCTTCTGTATCCAGAAGCTCTGCTGATGTAAAGACAAAATGTCTATAGCCAGCAGTTAGGGAGCCTCCATGCTCACCCCCCTATACTGCATATATAACATCACTTTAGCTTTACCCCAGCGGAAGCTCAGGCTGCAGAAGCTGCTTTTACCATATTTCCTTACTTAAAACATATATCTCAATTTCCAATAACTGATTTTTGGATAAAAGTTAAGTGTTGTATGTGAGAAAATATGGTAAAGAAGTTTCCTTTGTTTTTCTTATATCTGACATCTTTTTACATGAATTAATTAGGTGTGACTTTAAGAGAAATACATTCTTGTATCTCCCGCGAATGGCAAAATCCGTGAAGAAGGCACTGAGTTTATGAATGCAGTGCCCCCGGAGGCTGGGGGGGATGGGGGGGGGCGGCAAGGCTCTGGCGGCAGCAGCGGCAAGCAACGAGCTCCCGAGGAGCTCCTGTAGGTACATAAATTGTATTTAAAATGCGGGTTTGGCATTTTTGAATATTTGAAACCGCGAATGCCGAACCCGCAAATAGCAAGGGTTTCCTGTATATTAAATGACTCTGAATCTGTTTTCTGGTACTGGCGTCTGGTGAAGTGATAATTACCAGCATCAATGGCCCTTCAATGCTAGCAATAAATCACAGAAAGAAAGGTTTCTAAATGCATTGGCTCTTGCAGTTGCTGCCTTTATTTACTGAAGAGCAGATATGAAGCCAATAGTACCATGTGGTTTCTAGTGCCAGCAGGATGTTTCTGCTGCCACTTCTGATAGACTTTTGAAATGATTTGTGACAGATTCAGAATTCACAGTAGTAAGACATAATTAAGCACAAACCATTCTAATATTGTGTTATCACTGGAAATTACAAATAGCTTTGAAAGGCTTCTGATGAACAAAGATATATTTTCAGCTATAAGGCTGGATTCAGCAAAAGACTATAATCCCATTGAAGTCAAGTGGTTGTTAGAAGAGAGGCGGGTTTAATCACATGCTTGATTTCAGCATATGCTTAAGTGTTTTGCTGAACCAGATTCTAACTTGGGGTTTGCTTTGTATATAACAGGTTGGAAATGAAAATATATATGAGGCTAAACATGAAACAAAACTCCCAGTGAAATGGACTGCTCCTGAAGCAATCCGCTCCAGTAAGTTTACCATCAAGTCTGATGTGTGGTCATTTGGAATACTTCTATTTGAAATAATGACATATGGAAAAATGCCATATCCTGGTAAGTGGTTTTTTTAAAGAAAATTTTTAGTGATTTCTTGATTTTGTTTCGTTATTATTTTAACTGAAGTGCCTTGGTGACCCATATATAAATGGGTCAGACCTATATTAAGAACTGTTGGCCTTCTCAGGTCTGGTAGAAGCCTTCCAGAATCATTTTCAGCTATCCATAAATTGCCTTCCTGGGATCCATCTGCAGTTTGTGGCCTCCTGAGCCGGTTGGGCCATCAGTGTAATGAAGCCATAGCAGCATGTAAACCCATGCTTCCCCATCTATGTGGGTAAACAGGAGAGTCTAGTGTTGGGTACTGCACAGATTTGACAGGAAGAAGATACTGAAGAAAATAAAAGTTTTTTTTGCAGTAGCTCTGACTGAGCAGGTAAACAGAGGAGGGAGCCAACAAAAGAGAAGGACAAATAGCACATAGGGTAAAATAGCATTAATTACAAAGAGAGAACATTTCAATATTGGAATTGTCTACATCTCGAGTCCTGTAGGTGGCATCCAGAGAAATGCAGTTATGACCGGCACAAAGTACTAATACAGTGCTTAGTTGTCACCCTCATTTTGTCCTTGGTGAGGACAGCATAATGAAGAGCAGAAGCCAGAAAGGAGACAAAGGATATGTCTGCATGCCTTGTCTCTGTGGAACTTCTGGGTAGGGTTGCTGCCAACCCAAGTTTTGGGGTTTTTTAGCTGACAATATGCAAACTTTTCACTGGCATATGTTTTTGCTAGCATAATTTTACATAATGTAACTGTAACCCTTCTGCTAGGCCCTAGATGGCAGTTACAACTGGGTTCAAATTCAGGGGTTTAGCATTAAATTTGTAAATTTGGTTCAAGTAAGATCTTACTTGACTGCAGCAATGATTTTACACAGTGCTGCCTCCACCCAAAGGTCCCCTACTCACCCTATACACTGGTGTACCAACTACACCCTGCACCCACTCCTGCCAGCCCTGCTCCTCTCTGCATCCTGACACAAAACTCCAGCCACTGTCTGTACTCTCCTCGTGGTCCTACAGCTCCCTCCCAGTCAGAATGGCCCTCTCTCTGTTTAACCTGCTGCCTCAGACTGCCTGAGGTCATATGGTCCTGCTTACTTTCAAGGTGAGCAGTCATTACAGGCAGGCAATGGCTAGAACACAGTGGCAGCACATGGCTGGGGATGCAGGAGGACACTACACAGGCTCCCATGGGCCACAGATCCCTGACAGAGAGCTCCTTTCAGGGCACTGATCTGCACTCCTGCTTAGACACAGTGGCACTGCTCTGTCTATCAACACTTGCATCCACCTCAATCAAGCTCATGGTTTCTTTTTTTTTTAATGGATTTTATGGACAAATGTTTTTAGCTTTGTTTTTTATGAACTGTCTGTAAATGTAGACAGCTGGCAACCCTGTCCCAGGAAGTGTTGCATGATCCATCCACCTGCTCCTGTTCTGCATGCATCAAACCCAGAAATTAGGAGATGCAGCCACCTAGCAGATGTCCCTGCTGCTGCTCCTACATTCTGTCTCTGGTGTGTTCAATAGTAGTAGCAGGCAGTGCCATTAACCTCTCATTTCTATGGGAGCAGGAGTGTGCTTGAAAGTGGCACTCCATAGAGCACTGCAGAAGCAGTATAGACATATTAAAAGAAAAATGGGATTTCAACAAAATTATTTTCACCATCCACTCTATACCTACCTAGGCCTGGAACTTGTTCTACTCAACAGGACCTTTATTTCAGATGATTCCAGAATGCTAGTCTCTGCCTGTTTGCTAGGTTTATTTTAGTTGTCAATGGGTTTCTTTCTATGGAATAAGTAGTAAAGGAAACACCAGACTTGATGAAAATATGAAAATGCATTTAAATTACAGGTTGTTCTCTGCTTTCCTGAAAGCACACTCACATTTATGCTTACTGAGGTCATAATCTGAGCAAACTTTCACAACTGAAGATGGAAAACCCTGTGCCAAGTTCTTTATTCTAGCTAATAAATCTAATTAAAGTGTCCCCTCCCCACCCATCCCCACTCCACCCCAGAGAACATGTATAGATGCCCCTTGGTTCTAGGTCTTCCTGGGACTCCACATCTCTTACTTTTCAAAAGAGTGCCCTAACCAGAGGGCTATAAAGTAGAGAGTAGGGGTGTGTGAAGTGGGCTGCATTCGATTCAGATTCAGCCCAATTCAGGGCACAGAGATTCAATTAGCTGATTTGGACCACTGTCCCAATTTGATTTGGCTGGATCTAAAGATTCAATTCTGATTTGGAGAATCAGCAATTCAGCCATAGACACAGCTTTAAATATTTTTTCTACATACCTCAAGGTACTAGGCACAACTTGTGAATACTGAGATGGTGGGGTGGATGGAATGTCCCACAGGAATGTGGGGCGGGGGGCATGCCTCGTGTGCTCGGCGGTAGTGCCAGAAGTGGGCTGGAAGTACTTCTGTCTACTTCTGGGTCTGCCGCCGAGTGCACAGGGGACCACCCCTGCACCTCCTGGCTCAGCCACCCCAGACCCAGGAGGCAACAGTTACCGAGCTGTGGGGTGGGGAGGGGGGGCTCCCCCAGACTCTCTGCGGCATACCCAGAAGTGGACTGGAAGTGCTTCTGGTCCACCTCCGGGGCCACTGCTGAGCATGCTGGGGACTCCCATGCTCCTGTGGGACGCTCCATCCATCCCACCATCTCAACATTCATGAGCTGCCTGGTACCTTGTGGTATGTAGAAGAAAACATATAAAGCTGTGTCTATGTCCAAATCAGCAAACCTCTCCAAATCAAATCGGAGGCTTCTGATTCGACTCAGAGAGATTAATGGGTCTCCTGATCCAATTCAGATTCAGAGATTCAGTCACTGAATTGGGTCATTCTTTATGTTCCTGGTAAAGCTGGGCTACTAAGTAGCCAAGAATGCAAGAGTCCTGGAACTAGAAGTAGCAAGAAGCAATATGGAGCTTGAGTCTATGGTGTGGTGGGGAGGGCACTTTGCTGAAAGAAGAGAGTCCAGACTGTCTGGCCCGTTCATGCATTTTACATGAGACTAGGGGATGGCAACAAAGAGCCCATGGGCAAAGGGAAGTCTTTGCCTGTGTTCCACTGCTGCTGGGGGCTTTCCGCAGGAGATTTGTGGAATGTAAGTTAAGCATTCATAAAGGGAGCTAAATTCTAATAAATGTTATCTACCTTTTAAAAATATTATTGCAGGTCTGATGGGATATCAGGTAGTCCAGAAACTGGATGAAGGATATAGACTCCCTAAGCCAAACAACTGCCCACAACAACTTTACAACATTATGCAGAAGTGCTGGAATGCAGAGCCTAAAGAACGGCCCACGTTTGAAACATTGCACTGGCAACTAGAGGATTATATTGAACTGGACTCTGCATCCTATACTGATGCGAGTGATTTTGTAAAATGAACTCTTTAGCAAAGACTGAGTAAAATGCAATGATTACTTCAATGAACATGACAAAGTATAAGTGAAATCAATTTATCCTTCAAATATGAGGGAGGAGAAGTTAAATTATTAGATGAAACAAGAATGTTATATATTTTCAAGTCTGGGCTAATGCTCTGGAACACTTCATATTTGAATACCAGGAATTATCTTGCAATATTAAGCAAAATGAAACTAAGAGCCTTTTGGGGCTTTGTAAAATAAATGATCTTCCTTTATTTTTACATAACAAATCAAAAGAATGAACAAGTGACATAATGTTGTTGCTTAATAAGCATTAGAGTTTTTTACTGTTTACTTATTACAGTAGGCATTTGTTATTCCCTTGATCGTTGAATCCCATTGGTTTGCTCTTATGAAGAAATTTGGTTACTATGTTGCACAGCAGGACCTGTGCTTTGAGCTATCTTTTTTTTTTTTTTTTTTAAATGATCTGTGACTATTATAATGGCAAATCCACAGTACATATCTTGATTGGACTTGGAAGGCACATGACTTTCCTGTAAAGGCAAATGAAACTGATATTACGAAACAGAAATAAAGTATCTCTTATTTTGCAGAAGCAAATGGGATTTTCATGCACCTATCATGCCTTTCTTATAAAAATAATTGCAATTATCATTAGATTCTTAATGTTGTGTCATACAATGTTATAAAGTCAACACACTTTTATTGTTCATTGAAGAGCATACAGGCATTTTCTAATTCATAAATGCATTGATGCCTACACAGTCAGATGGGCGGCAAACTGGCTTGGTGGTTGTACCCACAGAGTGGTGGTGGACGGGTCGTTTTTGACCTGGAGAGATGTGGGCAGTGGAGTTCCCCAGGGCTCGATCCTTGGGCCTGTGCTATCCAACATCTTTGTCAGTGACTTGGAGGTGGGCGTGGAAAGCATGCTGTCCAAATTCACTGATGACACAAAGATGTGGGGAGAAGTGGGCACACTGGAGGGGAGGGACAGGATCCAACTAGAACTAGACAGGTTACAGAGGTGAGCAGATGAGAATAGAATGGAATTCAATGCAGACAAGTGTAAGGTGCTGCATCAAAGGGAGAAAGAACCTGCAACATACTTATAAGCTGGGGAACACCCTTCTCAACAACACGGTTGCAGAAAGGGATCTTGGAGTCATTGTTGACTCCAGGATGGACATGAGCTGCCAATGTGAGGAAGCAGTCAGTAGGGCTAACTGCATCTTGTCGTACATCTACGTATGCATCACTATCAGGTCCAGGGAGGTGATCCTTCCCCTCTATGTGGAACTGGTCAGGCCACAGTTGGAGTACTGCATTCAGTTCTGGGAGCTGCACTTCAGGAGGGATGTGGACAGCATCGAGAGGGTCCAGAGGAAGGTCACTCGCATTGTCAGGGCACAGCAGGCCAGGACCTATGAAGATAGACTGAAGGGCCTGAATCTATTCAGCCTTCACAAGAGAAGGCTCAGAGGGGATCTGGTGGCTGTCTATAAACTCACCAGGGGGGACCAGCAGAAAATAGGTGAGGCTCTGTTCCCCCAGGCACCACCTGGGATAACAAGGAA